ATCTCGTGCTCTTGGTGGAAGTGCTGTATTTGCTGGAGCTGAATTTGCCTTCTTTCCTTTGAATGATAATTGCTGGAAGCACAACTAATGGAAGCGAAAAATGGAACAAACGATTTGGCTGGCTCCTAAATCCACAGTTTGATGGTTATTTGGAACAGGATTTATGATATGAGCAAATATGGAGTAGTGCTTTGTATTGAGTACAAAAAGAGGTGGCAAATTCACCTTTTGATTATAGTTAACCATGTTTGAAACTGTCCACATCACTTGGGTGCAATATTGGGAATTTTCGGAATTCATTAAAACAGATCGTTTGGAAGCAGGCTGGACTTCGTTTTTGGAGCAAAAAGCAAAGGGGTATCGTTTTTGCGGATTCGGAGCCGAGCACCAAGAATGAGCGCCATTTAGTCAAACGCAAGCTTTTTGGACCTGTTATCACACGTTGACATGCTCTATCGTGTATGGCGAAAAATGCGCGCGATTTGAAAGCAAGGCTAAAATAAACAAATTGCTTGCTTACAGCGCACACAGAATCATATGACACCAAAATTGAACAGTATACATAAAAAATTATTTGTGGAAGAATTATGTATTAGGTTGTAACAGAATTAATGCAGGTTTTGAATTCCAACCGCAATAAGTCATACATTTCTCATTTCTAACGAGGGAAGGATACTTGGTGACCGTGGCCTTTTGCAATGAGATATATACCAGTAGGTGCGTCTTGGAACGCTGATTCTAAATCTATGCTCATTATCTGCTGTGCGACCTCCTGAACAAAGTTATGGACTTTTTTCCATTTTGATTTTGCGAGATTTAGGCAGTCAAAATCGTCAGTATCCAGGCTTTTTAGACTCTGATGTATCGGTAACATTTTTCCTGAGCTTAACGTGAAGCTTAACTTTGTCTGTACGCTTTTTTATAGTGCGTAAGCGAACATTTTAACGATATTGGTGAATCCTGCAGCAAAAACGGTGCAAATTTTGATGATAAAAAATGTTCATAACTTCTTTTGGAAGAGCGCGCAGCAGATAATGAAAACAGATTTGGAAACAGCGCTTCAAGTTGCATCTAATGGTGTACGTTTCGTTTCAAAAGGCCACGGTCACCAAGTATCCTTTCCTTGTAAGTAGGTTACAAAAGCACAAGGTGACAATCTTGCTTTAGCAACAACTCTGATCCACCACGAGTTTCGAGCCAAAAACTAAAAACATTCAAATGTCCGAAAAATTGAGAAAAATCATAACTCAGTTCATAAAAAACCTACAAAAATTCTAACTTGCTCACGTAAACACTATTCACATAAGACATCTATACACGCCTTTGCCGTAATTTTTCCTCTGTTAGAAATCAAGAAAACGGAAATTTTCATGCGCTTGCCAAAGTGATGCTGTGCCGTTCCCGTTATGAGTAGTTGTATACTACAAGCCTGTAGAAGTACAGACTTAAATTTCCAGCTCTCTACAAGCTTTAGTTCTCGGAAAATATCGAATACAGTTTTCGGAAGTCATGTGGTCCAAGCTAAAATTCAAATTTCTCGAGAACTAAAGCCTGTAGAGAGCTGAAAATTTACGTTTGTACTTCTACAGCTTTGTAGTATACAACTACTTATGTGGGAGCGGCAGAGCAACACTTTGGCAAATGCACGAAAATTTCGGTTTACTTGATTTCTAACAGAGAAAAAAATAGGCAAAGGCGTGTAAAGATGCCCTATGTGGATTGTGTTTACGTGAGCAAGTTAGAATTTTTGTAGGTTTTTTATGAACTGAGTTACGATTTTTTTCAATTTTTTGGGTAGTTGAATCTTTTTAGTTTTTGGCTCGAAACTCGTGGTGGATTAGAGCTGTTGCTAAATCAGGACTGCCATCTTGTAGAGCTTGCTTTGCTCTATCGAATGGTATTTTGCAACCTACTTAGAAATGAGAAGTGTATGACTTATTGCGGTTGAAATTCAAAACCTGCATAAATTCTGTTACAACCTAATAACAATATTCGAAAACTTAATGAAGAAGTACCTTTTCCAAAATTAGTCCGTCTCCAGACGGCCATCAGACGATCTGAGATCGGCTGGAGCCAGTGGCGTGCCCAGGATTTCGGCCGGGGGGGGGGGAAGCGACAAAAAAATTTTTCTAATGAAGGTGAGTGGCCTTAGCCACGCATTCCGAAAAAATTTTTGGGGTGCTTCTAAACATTTTTGCGGGTCCCCAACCCCTGAAATCTGGAAAAGGGGGGAAGGCTAATTTGTATTTTTAAAAATTTTTAAAAATTATTTTAATCATTTACAAGTAAAGATAAGTCCTTTGCACATTTTTATAACACAATTAAGTAACTTTCAAAAATTTCGCGACCCATTCTCGGGGGGGGGGGGGGCCCCCCCGCCCCCCTCCTCGGTACGCCACTGGCTGGAGCATATATTTCCGTCACTTCACATAAGTTTTGGATTTCTTTGGAATAGACGGATGCCCCGGTCAAGGATCTATCCCTGAGCATAGAGACAGTTTCATATCGCCCCCTGTACGCCGTTTTTTATCCTCTTTTCGAAAACTGCCTTGTTAGATAACGCGGCCCGTCGTCAACTTTTCTACGCCCTCTCCCTCTCTCTTTGAATTTTCATTTTCAGTCCCAGCTTTTTTCTCAGTATATTGATGACTTCTTTCTTTCTTGTTTCTTCTTCTTCTTCCTCCTACTCGTGATCTATCTTGATCTGTTCTGTGTCCATGTGAGGTTTTATTAAGCAAAATTCTGTAATTTTGTGACTTTTCTTTGAGAATTTGACCTGAAGTCGCAAAATTTTCGGCTCGCAGCAGATAAATGGTTTTGTCAAGGATTAAGTGAGTATGCGGGGATCCACTAACAGACGGAGGGGGGGGGGGGGTAGAGCAAGGGTCAAAGGGGACTTCATAAAATTTTCGAAAATGAGGAGAGACTTTGTTCTCAAAAAGCCTAGAAACGGATTCGTGCCGGGCCCTGGGTTACATCATGAGCGGAACAGACGACAAATGGACACCAAGAACCTCGGAGCGGATTTCACGAGAAGCGAAATGCCCCGAGGAAGACTTCCAACGCAATGGGCAGACTTGTTCGCGGAACGGGTGTACCAGCTGAGATATTAGCGATTTTTGCACTTGAAAATCGTAGGCGCAGCCACCGACGACAACCAAGAAGATGGTGGATGTTTGAAGCAAGGGACAGGGATCACTGGCAACTTCTGAGCTGTCGCGTAAAGACAGGCCATTTAAGTATCTAAGTAAGAAAAGTGCTATCTTCTTCGCTTGGACCCCATCAGTTGGGATACGGCCCTTAAACGTGCCCTTACAATAGAGCTTCCGTTTTGCTGGAAGCTCCACGCAGATAGCGCTTGGGCAGACTGCGCGGCATACTTGACTCACACACTGCATACGCCGTGCACGCTGCCAATTCTCAAACCGACAGTGTAGTCGTGTTTTGTTGTTCGTCGATTTTAAGTCCATAGCGTTTTCGTTTTTACCGCTGCTTGTCAGTTAGAGTACCTGTAGAATTTAGAGGAGCTCTTGTTCTTTCATGTTACTTATTTTTGGAGCAAATTTGGCCTTTGTACCTCTCTGATGCAATTTTTCGAAATGCAAAAACTGGGGATTTTGACACTTTTATGTTCCGCGTTCCGTATCTCAGTAGCTTGTAGCAAGCAAGACAATTGTTGACAAAATGACGATAACAAATAAGGAGTGCCTAAAGGAGGTCTGATATTGCTTTGAGTTTGTGCGTTATTTGGCAGCAGTAGGCCCGATCCTGCTATCAGGCTCTTATCAATGAATGGATTTTTTTGAAAGGTGCAGTTTTGAGTATAAGTCCTGACCACCCATTTCTTTCGAATTCTTTCGTTATTATCAACGTAAAGGATCGCCTCGATCCTACTAAACGAAAATCACCCACACATATGGTAAAATCAAGAGTTGTCCTTCCCTACAGCGTCTCTTCTAAGAAGTTTACCTTCATATGCATTGTAGTTACGTTAACAGCATTTCTCGTCACTCGTAATAATTCCGAATATGAAATTTCATTCGTAATTTCCGTATATGAAGCGAAAGATGCAGGTACCAAAATTGCCCTTTCTGCTCTCAAAATTCCTATTTTGCAAAACCAGAAATCGAGAAGCATTAGCTTTTCCAAAAGCGAAAGATAGACTTCAGAGCAATAGCTTTTCAAATGCTATAGGAATCGACGCATCGCACAGACTTCTCCAGAAAAAGGCAACAAAAATAAAACACTAGTAACTTGAGAAACAATTCATACGTAAGCTACTATGCTGTAGCATCCAGGCGCCCGGCTAGGTTTTTTGTCACACTATTAGTCTTGGAGCAAAATCATGAGATGTACGAAGCACATACCTCGTGCCTCGGTTCTGAGATGTCTAGTTCGTTCTTCGACAGTTCCTCACCAATATTCACTGTTCTGTATTAGCTCTTCTGTATCTCATCATCTAGCCGCTCATATTTTCTGTATTTGCATATCCGCTTCTTCTTGTGGTTTGTCAAATTTTTGATAAACATTATATTTTTACCAGTTGTCCCGCTAAGTCAGTGGAACCTGCGGTCTCGACCGTCCTACTGCCACTATGCACTTTCTTCAGTGTTGCAGAGCACATTCATTCGTTGCCAGTTCACTCAACACTAGTGACATAAGTTGTTTCATTTCAATATCCTTGTTTATGACTAGCTTTTCAGAAATCTTCATCTTTCTGTTCCTTCAAATGTCCTCGTGTATGTGTCGGTTTGGCGATGGATGCTGCCTTGCCATGGCAAATGACTATAGTAAGCGGGAAGATAAGGACTTTGGAGATCTCCATGAGGAAGATGCATATTTCCGGAGCTATGTTCCTTTACTTGGGAAAATGTTGGTGCATTATTTTCATATTCTAAAGCAAATTATTCGAGAAATCTCTGTGAATGTAAGGAGCTTACCTGTAGCAATTTCACCATCGATATCAAACAACGTTTCAAAACGATGTTGATACACGTTCTTTGAAGGAGCAGGCATCATAGGCGGAATTGGTGCTGTCATCTCATGTGTGACGACTGTTGAGGCTAAATGTACACTCTCAGTCCGAACACATACAATCTTTCTATAAATCACTGTATTTTAAAATCCGTCAAAACCTATTTTACGCTGTTTTTGCTTATGCCAGCTACGACCGCCTCCCGGGAAAGTCCCCAATAACCGTGTTCGGCCGCAGAAAGTAGGAAGAATCGGAGAATTCTTCACTGCAATTCTCTGTATTTAGTTTACGGAATTGCCATATATTCATATAATTCAAATGGAATCATCAGATCCATTGAATTTTCTTAGTAGATATGATTGAAAGGCTAATTTGCACTCAATTTGCCCCGAAGAAAACGAGCTGCTTCTACTAACGGTAACTCCGCCATCATCCTAGAGCTTACAAAAATAGGAATTGCCGAGATTCGAATTCAAAGTTCAGTAGTGATTTTAATCCAATGAAGGTAAGAATTTGTATTCAGGGATATTCAGTCACGTTGTTCCCGAATATGATGGTGGTTTTGCTTAAAAATTTGCAGTTCTTTCCCCTCAAATTTTAGACTTGTTCTCAAAAATTTTCTCGCAAAAATTTTCAAAATTCAAGGGTTATGAAATACCAATGGAACGAAAATAATCTGATTTGGATTATCTCAATTATTTTGAATGTAGCAGAATTTTCGTTTGTTTTTTTTTGTTTATTTTCCAATTTTATCAAATTTGCAGTGAAATTCATGAAAAACGTTTAGACCAAAAAAATTTCAAGGTTTAAGCGAGACCAGCGTTTTCGGAAACAGCATGTCAAAAAACCGCTTTGCTGGAGCTGATTAATTTTTGGAGCATCTGAGGGGACAAACTGGGCCAGCCCGTTACCAGAATCCATTCGATTACTCTCGTACCAACTTACCATTTGGGGCATGCTCACGAATGAACGCCAATTACTCTTTTTGTTATTTGAGCACGCATGTCTCAAAATCACGATACATCTTTTATGTGATCTTGGCTCTGATTGAGTATGAGAAAATCACTACATCCCCTTACTCCAAAATTTCGAAAGCTTTAGTAGCTGCACCTGACAAACTCTCTTCATGTTTTTCGAAAGAAGGAAAAGGTACTTGAGCTGCAACTCCGGGAGGGCCAGCGCGAGACCTAAGCATTACATTGGGAGTGGAGAACTCTACAATGAATTATTGCTTGCTCAAGTATAAGTATACTTACCTGCGAATGGATAGCATGGTGAAGAGAACAAGGCAATAGAAATGAATCATTATTAACAATCCGGTGCAACTTGAGTCCTATTTATACCTAATTTGAATCAAATAGAGAGAATGAATGAAGCACGAGACAGTATTGAAAGCCTTTTTTCAAATTTTTGCACCTCATTGGTTGGTAATAGCCTTTAACTGCTATTTTAAAGAAAATATTGTAAAGGAGTTCGTATTAAAGCAGAATCTGCTTGTTCTGATTCACTTATTTGCTGATGAATTTGCTGAATTATAAGAAGGTTTTCAGTGTCGAATAATGTTGTGCCGAGCAGGCTGTTAGGTGGTCCTTTTATCGTCAGTACTCTTCGGCCTTACGTTTCGACGCTTTCGTCTTCATCAGAGGCCTGGAATGGTTCAAAGCTTCATCCCTAACTCCAGCCCATCAAACGGTTCCATCAGCCCTTGCCATTTCTCGGCTCTTCCCCCAATCTAGTGCTACAAGAGTTGTGATAGCAAAAGACATACCAGGAAACCACAGCTTCGTTAATTTCCGTACCGGATGTAGATGTTCGCGATGGACGACTGAGCTATACTGGGCGGATGTCACATAAACAGTTTAGCTCACATAATAAGGAAAACGGAAGGAAATCAGCGGTTATGGATAACTCGTGTTTGATGTTCATTTCTGGACTCATTGCTGAAATTCAGAACGATTCCAATGCTTTCCTAGCCGAGATCTCTTTTTCATGTGTTAGAGTTGTAACTTTGATATTAAAGTTGTCTTCACCATGCAATTCGTGCCTGTGTCTGTCTGCCAAGCGGCGAAGCCAAATTCGCCTTTTATCTGAAAAATGCTCTTTAATGCGTTCGCATTAAAGAGCATTTTTCAGATGTGTTCTTCCTGTTTCTCCAATATAGCGTGCATTGAATTTAATTTCGTGCGAAGGTGGGAGTGGTGTGACAGCTTGTAATGGCCGCTACATTGGGGAAACAGGAAAAACACTCGGCATTCGCATCAAAGAGCGTTTGTCAGATAAAAGGCGAACTTGGCTTCGCCGCTTGGCAGACACAGGCACGAATTGCATGGTGGAGATGACTTTAATATCAAGGTTACAACTCTAACACTTGAAAAGGAGATCTCGGCTAAGAAAGCCTTGGAATCGTTCTGAATTTCTGCAAAGAGTCCAGAAATGAACATCAAACACGAGTGCTCACTCCGTTTCATCATTATGTGAGCCATAACTGTTTATGTGACATCCGCTCAGTATAGCTCAGTCGTCCGCCGTGAACATTTATATATGGTACGGACATTTAAAGGTAGTGCGTCGGCAGAATGAGACCCGTGGCAAAACAAGGCCACAGGGTAGGAGCCCCCAAAATGGAACCTATGGGCCAAAGTTCGATCTTTCTCTGCCGCTTCTAACCCCCGAAATTTCAAAGCGAAAGAAGGGCTCATCTCCTGTCCTCTCCGAACCGAACTTTGGCCCGTAGGTTCCATTACGGGGGCTCCTACCCTGTGACCTTTTGCCACGGGTCTCATTCTGCCGACGCACTGCCTTTAACGAAGCTGTGGTTCCCTGATATGTCTTTTGCCATCACGATTCTTGTAGCACTAGATTGAGGGAAGAGCCGAGAACGGCAAGGGCTGTTGGAGTTGGAGGCTGAAGTTAAGGACAAAGCTTTAAACCATTCCAGGCCTCTGATGAAGACGAAAGCGTCGAAACGTAAGGCCGAAGAGTACTGACAATAAAAGGACCACCTAGCAACCTGTTCGGCACAGCAATATTCAACACTTACGAACATGACCAGGTTTCAATGATTACAGAACATGGAAATTACTAGAAAGCGGTTTTCCTTTCAAACTCATCTTTGCTTTTCTTCTTTGTTTTTGCTTTGTAAGGACTATATACAATATTAAACAATACATAATCAAGAGCATGAACATTTATTTACTGAGAATAACCAGGAGGGAAAATGAAGGGCGCTTGATTGTTCATAAAGCCTTGCGCATTTGGAGGCTGATTGCATATATACGGTGGATAATCCAGTAAAGTCTGCATGTAAGGAATGGACTGATGTTGAACCAGAGAGCGATCTGAAAAAAGTTGACATTCAACAAGAGATCGTCTGCGCAATATCCACGGCACTTTCTGGCATATAGAATGGACATCATTGCGGTCTTTTGCGTCTCCTCCGTAAGAGTTCGCAGGAGAGACGCAGACAGTGAGAGTATGCCCGGGTAATTTGAACGCAGAAGTCCGTAATAACGTCCCCTGCGTCAATAATTCAACCATAATCATACCTGCAAGAGCGTGACGATGACGTCTTTCGCTTGGAAACGTTGTGAGAGAGGCATTCGCGTCGCAAGTCTGGAGAATCAATGACAAAAATTTCTTTTCACAAAAATCAAATAAAATCTCACTTTTAATAGGTCCACTAGTGAGTCGATATATCGGATAGCAGCGTTGAGAATTTTCAACTTGGATACACGCTTTGTATGACTGCGTAATGACGGCAGGTGATATTTCAATGTGACGAAAGCCTCAAATGAAAAACTGTGCGGATTTGAGAGAATTCTGATAGATTCTGGAAATCTAGACGCTTCTTTGGTTTTTAATCGATTGACTGCATATAACAGTAAAGGCTTGGAGTAGCTCGAATGGTATTTTAGCCAATAACCATAAAGCAGCAATCTCAAGAATACAAACAGAAAAAGACATTTTTTAATTGGCTGCTTAGATTATTGATTTTTCCAGCTTTGTTCCATGAAGACATTTTTTACGAAGATAAAGAATATTCTTTAATGGCAGTTTAGAATGCTGATTTTTCCAGTTTTGTTACATAAGGAAATTTTTCATAAGGATATTTCTTCTCATTTCTACTCATGGCATTACCACTTTTTCAGCAGTAGATCGTGCATTTTTTGAAAGGGTTCATAAAAGAAAAGATACGTCTCTGACCTGCTTTCGCAAAAGCTGTCAAAATGAAGCCTAGTAATACGATTGGGAGAACCTTCGTAATCAGTACCGTAGGTCCAGAATGACGAATGTTATTGCAAATGCCACTTTCTTGCTTTTATACGATTATACTTGATTTTCGTCTTTCACAAAAATCCTCCCGACTTCCGCCAAACACATTACTGCTCATTAACTTGGTGAATTGCTCTATGACTTCTTTCTTGCTTTTTTCTGCTGAAGCCGGTCAGAAATGTAGCCTGGAAGTATTTTCCATTTTTTAGGTGCGATGGGAAGTGTGAGAAAAGTTTTCCTATTATATTTTGAGCGATATATTTTTCAGGAAGACCAAATAGGACAGTTAGAAAATACAATTGGAACTAATTGTAAGAGGGAAAACGCTCTTTTGAGATTATATATCATTCTTTTCTATCCGGATTCAGGACTTTGAACATTTTGAACTTTTATTAAGCCACCCAAAATTTTGTTTTTTACATTGTTCAAGAAGAAGCCGAAATCGCAGCAAAGCAATCAGAAGAAGCTCCAAGATGCACTCAATGCAGCATTGTCTATTCTCTTGAGCGACCAAATTCAAAACCAGAACGTTTGTTAGGCCTTACAAATTAATTGCAAAAATTCGAAGTGCGTCATTTTTATCCTTCTTTAAGGTCCACTCATGTTTTCATGTTATATTAGGTTGTCCCGAAAGTTTTGTCGGTTTTTTCAAACCACTGTAAAACCACGCTCAATGAAGATTTGAATGAGTTTCAACATGCATTCGATGCCGCTTTTCCTTCTCTTTCTAATGGATACACTTTCATACCATAATCTTATATGCTTTTTTTGATAATTGCCAAAATTCTCCACTTGTCAATTTTACCTGCTCAAAGTTGAGCTAATTTTCAAAAATTTCATTACAAAGTTCCGAAAAAGACTAAGTATCGGTCAAATAGAGCAACTCTCGGGCTACATGTACATATTTTTAGATTCTCCTAATCTGCTGATTTTGACTTCAAAAAAATTATTTCTCCGGAGGCCCTGGTTTTTAGCAAAGTCATGAAACGCGCAATTGCAGCAAAAGCATGAAAGCTTTTGAGTTTTTGCGAATTCAAACTTGTTCGTTATTTAAAATCATTTATGCAACATAACCAAGTTTGATTTGCTTCAAAAATCAGCTTTTTGGAATTTTCGGTAATTTTACGTGATAAAACGTGTTCAAAAAGCCGCGGTTTTTCTCAAATAAATAATTATTACGAACTTTATAAACGTGGCCCACGTAATCTAAAGTAAGTGCAATGTAGCCAAAGGTTTGCCCTACATAACAATCACCAGCGCTCATTGAAATTATCACGATAAAAATTTTGAAAATTCAGGAAATTTTTGGCGCTACTGCTGAGGTGCTCAGAAAGCCATGGCGATAACATCGTAAAGACGGGGTAGATCAGAGAACAAACATAGGTATAAGAAAGAGGATACAAAAATGAATAGAATGACACCTAAGCCGTCCATGGATTGGTGTTCTGTGAGGTTTGGTGAGCGATGAAAAAAAAACGACAAAACTTTCGGGACAACCTAATATATCAAGTTCTGCAGCCAGCAATAATCATCAAATGAGCATAGTTCAGCATCAATAAAGCAGGAGTTTACTCCTTTCGCTAACATCTTCAAAATTCAAAAACTTTTTTATTAATTTTATAAATGTGATTTTTGTGGAAGTCTTAATTTGCGATAATCTTTGGGTGAATGTAAATTTATAAAGTTACAGACTTTGATATTGGCAGTCGCTAAGGATTATCATTCCCATCAGATCAGGTGTGACTTTCACAACTCGTTCTGCTGCATTACAACCTAATTGTTTGAAAAATACGAATATTTGAATGGTGAAACTTAACAAGTTTTTTGTACAAGTTGGGAATTTTAAAATACAGAGTGTTCCAAAAAGATGTGCTCACTGTTTGATGGTTAATGACTCTCTTGCTTTCATGTCTTTTGCCGAGCTTGAGGTGCCATTCTGTAGAGCGAGGATAAACTTAGATTTACAGTATGGAGAGACTTATCAGCCGCTTTTCATTACTGAAGATTACGGTGGGAATTTCGAGGAGGATTTTAAGCAATGGAAAGCTGTATTTTTGTCTCAGAAAAAAGCCAAATAAGCCAAAAACTCTTGAACTGGGTTAATCGTAGTCGCTGAATCTAAATATGAAAACTGCACGTCACTACACTGTTTCTTTCATAAAGTTATTCCAGATTTAGGGTAACAACTGATTTTCCAATGTTTAGCAGAAATGTGAATACGCCATCAAGAAAGCTCGAAAAACTGATGGAAAGTTATGTAGTGAAATCAGCACGCCTGAAAAACTTGCTACACAATTTTTCAGATTTTTTTGGAATTATTTCACCAAAAGGCTTATTCCAGTGATGCTGTATGCTGAAAGATCATACCGTAATCCTAAATTGGAGTTTTGCTTAATACTGTAAATCTAAGTTTATCCTTGCTCTACAGAATGGTACCTCAAGCTCGGCAATAGACATGAAAGCAAGAGAGTTATTAACGACCAAACAGCGTGCACATCTTTTTGGGACACTCTGTACAAATTCAAAGGCTGCATCCTCCACTTTCACAAGTATTTATTTCTTCCAATCCTTTGTGAGGAGAAACATGGAAAATGAAAAAAGGAAAAATTTCGGAGTGGCCTGATGCTTTTAGCTTACTAGTTTACGAATTTGTTATGAGGACCATCGTTTGCGATTTCTTCGCTTTGTTCGTACTTATGCCTTACCTGATTCACCGTATGAACCCTTGTCCGTTCACGAGCATTCCGCTTTGCTACAATGGTAGGCTGTTTCTGCCAACGTTTCGGCTCTGACCGTCGCTCAGCATCACTCGATTCATCTAACCAAACTCAACTGGGCAATGTTATACTCAGAGTAGGCTAAGCTTACCATATTGTGGGTTGATCTGTCGCTGAATGGTAAAGCGGTCTGCGTTAGCAAACTTGTCGTCGATCATAAAGTTTAGGATGCGATTCTTAAAATGACAAATGAGATTGTGAACGTAAATGTTTCACGCTTCAATATTCCCTTTTACGGAATTTTAAGTTTTTAAAAGCTTGAATACCTCGCTACATATGGAACAAGCTAATACAATTTACAAAACTACGTTTTCTCTCACTGCAGTAAGCTATCTTCATTTACTGACAGCAAACTATCCAGAAGATACAAGATCTCTCCACGTTTCTTTTTTGAAGAAATTTCCCAAGGGAAATGAGGGGTTGGTATCAAGCATAATATGAAAAAATAAAAAATTCTAACAATACCCAAACGAAACTTGGATGAAATGTACTTACCGTAATCCTCTGGCGACTGACGATGCCGAAAGCGTCGAAGCAATAACATTGCCGTCGCCACCTACCGTAATTAATGGATTAATAATAAATCAGCGGTTACCTAACAACGGAATTGTGTTCATAATCGAGATTTCAACGCGGATTAAATAACTTCAACAACATTTTAATTTTACTATTAGGTTGTAATATAAGTTTTGTTGCACTTGAAGGAAAAAACCTCTATACTTTCTCCAAAGATTTTCTCTCATTTCCAGAGTTAAGGGCATTAACTTTTTAATACAGGCATGCCACACATGGAAAATCCAATTTTTGAACTTTTTGAGATTTTTCTGAATTATTTTTGGCAAAGACTCCCAATCTTCCCTCATATTAGACTAATGTCCCTATTGATCCGACAAAAATCTCAGAACGTAAAAAATAAGAATTAAATATTTTTAAAAGGCAAAAGAAAAAATGGAGATTTGAGTGCCGTCACGGATTTGCCTTTATATTTACGCAACCCATACCTGTATGGTGGAAATGATGCCAATAGATACTCTTTTGTCCACTGCTCATATGTGCCAAATACTGGACTAGTCAAAGTTGCTAGAGTTTTTAGAAAAAAATGAAAAAGTGTCTCAAAACTTAAGTTACGACCTAATACAATAATCTTTTGTACCGAAGGCAATCCGAGTAAACTTTTTGACATTACCGGTGACACTGGGTGTCTTCCTAATTATTACATTGTGAAAAAAGTCCTCAAGCACATGCGGAGAATTTCTGCATGCTGCTAAGTTCGAAAGTGATCCTTCTTAAGAGATGTAATTTTTGTTGCAAAGACAATGTCTACAAAACCGATTAGTTTACTGGCTTTGCAGTACCTCATTTCAGGCATCAGCACATGTAAGTCAAAGAGATTTGCTTAGCAACTATCCCATCAGGATTCTCTCAGGCATGATAAAAACTTGAGAGCACATATACGGAGGTTGCGTATAAAACCACTGAGACTACTATACAAGCCGGATTTCGTATTCCACGCGCGAAAGGATTTTTCAAAAGCTTTGATCAGTCTTCTCCCCCCCCCCCCCAAATGGTCCATTTTCTAAATCGCCTCCCCTAAAATGGTACATCCAAATGCTCGACGTCTTTTTCTGCATGAAGTGAGCCAAATTGAATACTGTTGTTTAATACTGTCTGAGTATTGTCACACCATTCAGTCGTCTTCATTTTGACACACCATTCCAAGCATAACGATCACCACATTGAATCGACGCCTACTGTAAAAAAAAGGTTGCGATCAAATACACATTTTTGCGATTTTTGCGGGCATATCACAAAGTCTCGCGTGCAGCTGTAACTTAGAAGTTCACTGGTTCCCATTTTATCGCCTGAGACCTGGCGATTTTCTTTCCTTGAAACTAATGGAGTTAAAAAACAAAGTGTGAATTTTCCATAGGAGGTTGCTGTTTTAATACGTCAAAAATTCAGATTTTGACGTTTATTACATTCAAAACTGCATAAAAAAAACTTGACTTTCTTTCTAAGACCCTACAAAAACACTCACAAAGAAAGGAAGGTTATTTTAGGTTAAAGTTTCATATTTGAAAGGCCGAAGTAGCCTTCCAAATATGAAATGGGTACTGTCTTGAAGGGTATGAAATGCTGACCAAACCTACCCTCTTTATGTGCCGCGGGTTCCTGGGCGAGGAGCTACAAAGGTCTGCATAAGCAGAAATCTGCATGTGCAGCTAGGATAAATTCAGTCGTAACATTCCTACGTCTCGAATGATTTTAGGATTACTCTGTGCAAAAAATACATTTTGAATGTAAACAGATCCACCCACATTGCCATTCGGGAACACTAGGAAATGTCAACAACTGATTTTACACTGTTCATGCATTGAATTCTCGCCCATAACAACCTTCAAATCTCCTTGCTTAGAGACCGGCAGCAGATAAGGAAGGTGTATTTGGAGTCAGCGTTTCGTACTCTCAAGTCAGTTTACATCTTATACAGAAAGGCCACTTCGCTAACCTTCCTTCCTTTGTTAGTTGAAATTCAGCCAAGTGCGGAAAAAATGCCACGGAAAATGGAATTTTCGAGTGAAAACCAAAGAGTGCATGTGTGCTACGAGCATGTGCTTTTTTCCTTGCATTTATTGTGATGCAGCCAACTAGCACGATACACATCAGAATTTCTTGTTATTCAAATAATGAAACACCAAAAATGGAATTTACAAGTAGCTATTTTCAAAGGAGCGACTACTTTGCGATTTGAGGTAAATGGAATTGACAAAACAACGCGATAATAACATCAAAACAGAGAGTCCATCGAACCACGCGCCGATTTGAAGGCAAACTGATTAGCTCGAGATGAGACAAGCGTTTGCGACTTCATCCCTGAAAAATTTTAGTTCAAGAAACTAGACAGAATTCCTGGGGAAATGTAAAAAAAAGGACAGAAAAAGAGGAAGAACAGAATTAGAGATTGGCTGCGTAGAGCAGACAGATACTGACCTCCGGCGGGACCATCTTGTGCTGATCCTGTTGCACTAACACGCTTCATTCCCTGAAATGGAAAAATATCACAAAAAGGAAATGATAAAAAGACCATGTCAGCAAGATGCGGATTCCAATATTACCAGACATATAGGTGAGATTATGCCTCTCATCAACTAACCGTGGATTCTGTAACAGAAGAAAATTGAGAAATGGAGCGCTAGGTTACGCGTACAGCAACGTTAAAGGCCTTCAATGGGGCAAAAATTAATCATGTGCAAATCGAATGTGTAATCAATTGGTAAGTTCAGCGCAAAGACAAAGATCATGCCCACCTTTATTCCTTTACTGAGGGCTTTATTTGTGAATTTTAGCCAATTATTCTTTTCACTTTCTTTGGCTACATCCAACTCTTTGCGTTTTAACTCCTTTTTCTGCGCTCTCAAGCGCCGCCGTTCCCGTTCTGCCTGAAAATAAGACATTTCAATGTTCACTGTTCAAAATTGAGAAATGGAGCGTTAGGTTACGCGTACAGCAACGACCTCAATAAAGAATGTAAAAGTTACCAGCCACTCCTTTTTGTTCGAAGCGGTTTTGGAAATACCATTACGACCTGAGTCGAAAACATATTGCTTGCGGTGGGCATCTGGCGCATCGGTAAGATCGGACGGATCCACAATGGTTTTCTGGCCGCTGCCTAGAACAACACAAGCAATTCGCCGTTAATTTTCAATAATCAAAATAAACTGCTTGGATCCTATAATCAATCAAAGGAAGTTCCTCAAAAGTTAGATCCGAACCCATTTTAAGACGATTATAAGATTAGATCAACAATCGATACAGCCCCAGTGTTCAAAAAAAGCAAATAGACTAATTTCTTCGAATAAGCGATCCACCCAGGGTACAGCGTTCTTTACCTCCCAGCAAAAAAAAACATCCGAGGCTTTGAAGCACTAGGGAGATACCGCACATTCACAAACACGAGTGATGGAATATAGGACTTATTTGCCGAGACACCAATTCTCGATATAATCAAAGCTGGCGTGCCATAAAAAAGACTTCGCATTCTATACATCATGGTTTTGACAACCGAAGAGATTTCGCTTTTGTATTCATCTGAGACAAAGACAAAACACAGCTTATCGTCTCAAAACATCCAGTCAAAATTGGGCGCAAGAATGGCAAAAACCGACTAGTCAAACCGCTTCATAAGGGAATCGAGAAGAAAACTCACTGATGAAAATTACAGCAACTCCAGCGGCTGTCAATGAATCAACCACTGCAACAGCACGATTACCATTAGGTAGAGGTGCCATAACACGATCACCAACCTGAAATAGAAAAAAATTCAGCTCCAAAAAACTTTCAGTGATACCTACATACCTCAAATTTCTTCACTGGATGTGGCACCGTAGGAGCAGCGTTGGCCGAGCCGGAAGCTGAGGAACTAGCCAATTCTACCTGAAAAATATGTGTAACAGCAAGTATGGCAATAAAGTATTGAGTAACCACCAACATACCTGCAGAGCTATCACTTCTTCCAAATCTGCCTTGAGCTTTTTCAACTCTTCATTGTCTGGATCACCAAGGAGGGCAGCTTCCACCTTTAACAGACACAGAAAGTAACTTGTATACAAGTTACTATTATAATTATGTAATTATGTATACATAATTTTACAGAAAAATTGACATCATCGGGATCCAAATCTTAAGGTACATCAAACTAGAAAATTACCTGCTGGAATTGCAGCTTGTAACTTGCGAGTTCTTCATCTGCCATTGCTGAATGATGAGCGTTACACCTTAAGAAGCAGAGCTTGGATATAATTTGAAAAAAGCTAAAAGTCCTTATCAGACACTGCCGAAAAGAAAAAAGCATCATATACGATGAATTTGCTTGCACCCATTAAAACGGCTGTGATGAAAAATAAGAAGCATTTTGTCCATATACGTCAACTGAACTCAACAATATAGTCATCGTGAGATTTTTGCGGTCAAATTGTTTCGATTGTCACAGAAACAACAAAAAAAACCTTTGTAACATTTGCATTTTTCCCTACACATCTTAAAATGACCTATTTATAAAGGCTTAGCATTGTAGCGTAGTGCGTCGTAGCGAAATAAGTCCATGTGGTCAATTGAACTTTCAAAAAAACAAATTTTAACAATAAGCGTTCCTCGTTGCCCATGATTGCTCATTATGAAGGAGAACTCAAGAAGCATTAAACACAGCACGTTTTTGATTAGCGAGGAAACGCTATGAGCGCATTTTGAAGTGATACAGATTGATAACTTACAATAAGAGGCAGGTCCCCTCAATTATTGCTAGTATTGAGAAGCTATCTCTGCTTTCATGAATCGCTCGTCCACTCACATATAGTACATTCCCCAGAATTGTTCACATATGAGTCATCAATTTGATTGCCGTCGATCATTTTGACATGTCACCTTCGAATAAACCTCAAATTTGCCGGAGTTAACGTGTTAAAACGATCGAAAGGCAGCCACGTCGGTGGTTCATATGGGAACAATTTAGGGGATGCACGATATATTTGCAAGAGTTGAAGTCAGTGAGACTCACAAAAACACTCCTATCCCCCTCCCGCTTGTTCTTACATTTCGTGTAAGCGCAGATATCAAGCAGCATTAACAGAACGTTCAGCACACAACTGCCAGCTCTTGCGAATAAGAGCAAGATAAGCAGGCATGCTCCACTGCTAATATTTTTCCTTCAATCTTGGCATAGATGCGTGGATAAGCTTCTACCTCTCGAGCCAGATATTTCCAAATGTCACTATTTGCCGACGGGTCTTCACCCTGAGCTATTCCCGGTTTCACTCTCCTGGCTAAACCGGAGAGTAAAACCAGGGAACACGGCTTTTTTCCTTACGCCATCGTACATCCTTACCCCAAGTTTGGGTCGCCAGATGTTCCTTACATGCAGTCGGTTTCATCCCGGATTAGGCGAGACATTCTACGTGGAGCAGCGCATGCGCATCGTTGGAGGCTTCGCGAGCGCCTAGAGCTGGCATTTTGCCAAGCAAAGACTAAGGAGATTGAAGAGACGCAGACATGGGTCCTCAGCACGGTAGGATATACTGTAGCTGCGAAACGGCGCGAGCTGTTGCGAGGCGGACTCCCGCCAATCCAATTTCCGCCTAAAGCGGGCCGCAACTTACTGTAATTTCTTTTCCCGTAAGCTTTGAAGGCAGTGTCGGGGCAAAAACTCGATTTTGAAATTTTCTGCTTATACTGGCCTATTCGCTATGCTGAATCCGAAAATTCACACTGGAAAGCGCAAAAACTGCAAAAAGGGCTCTAGCGCATTAGAGAAACAGCAAGTGAGCGGGGTCCTCCCCCTTGTGAATTCACGCTCCCAGCTTCCGGAGCGGACTTCTCGCTTCCGCTAGCCGTCCTAACATCGCTACCGGCTAAGTGCGAATAACTGACATGAAACCGGAAGCGAGAAGATCGCTCCGGAAGCTGAAAGCGTGAGATCACAGTGGGGAGTACCCCTCCCACCTGCTGATTTCCCTCCTGCGTCAGAGCCGTTTTTCGCCGTTTTCGCGCTCTCCAGTGTGCATTTTCGCATTCAGCGTAGCGAATAGGCGCGGGTAAGCATGAAATCTCAAAATCGAGTTTTTGCCCGGACACTGCCTTCAAGTAGTAGGAGCACTTTCAATTGGTACCGTTTGCAACGTGGAATGTACAATTTGGTTTCTTTTCATGACAGTGAACGTCTCCCCCGTTCTGCACACATAGTCAGCACATACCCTCGATATCATCCCATATGTCTTCCCTCAACATGACGTGGATTACTTGGCTTGATGAGGCGCCGCCTCGCCTCGGGCTTGCGCCACGTTGCGTGCGCATTTTCGGCGTGATGTGGCAACAAGAAGAACGTGGAAAAGCCTGCGCCACGTTGTGTTGAGCGCCACGTCCCGCCAAATGATGCGCTCGCAACGTGGCGCGAGCCCGAGGCGAGGCGGCGCCTCATCAAGCCACGTAATCCACGTCATGTTGAGGGAAGACATATGGGATGATATCGAGGGTACTTTCATCGTTCTAGTTCACATACGCAGAAAAATTTCAGAAAGGGGTCAGACAAGGAGGAGGAATTGCGATAGGCCAAATGAGTTCACGAAGAAAAACAAGAAGCGCGACCTTCCAAAAGCTTTGGCAACTTTTCCGTATACATACATACATACATTTATTCATCATCGGCGGTTATACACAACTAATATACCGCGATGATTTCGTTAATGGCTGGGGTTGAGCGAGTTTCACTTCTATCGTCTTCGAGGACAAAATTCATTCTTGCTCGTGCCAACCAGCGCATTCTCGCATTCTTTTCACGTATGGCTATAGGGTTAGGTATCTAGCAACTCTCTTGTGAGCTAGCATGCAAAAGCAGATTGCAACCTTTTTTCTCTATTTCTGATTTCTTTCTCGCAATAAGATAGGGATAGTTGACTTACCCGGCTCCGCCCGGCCCTGTCATTATTATATTCGTAATCAGCATGCTCGATTACCCCCCTGTGTCAACTCCCAGCCCCGTAGCTGAAATTTTGCAAAAAATCGATAGAATGGATATCGATCGATGACGAAAAGTAGCCTATGACATCCGCCGGGGCCCGAAGTGTATGTGTGCCAAGTTTGGTCCGGATCGGTTCAGAAATGGAATTTTCTATTCGGAACATACGTACAGACAGACATACAGACATACAGACAAACAGATATTCAGCTTTATATATAAGATAAGGGAATGATGACCACATATCTTATGACAACAAACAACAAATTTCCAACAATGCAGTTTACACCAAACAACAGGCATTCAAACTTGGCAACGAATATAATCATGTCTATAAATTCGCTATGTAATTTTATAAGATTCAAAACTCAACAAAAAGTTTACAGGAACAACTTAATCCATGTCAAAAGTGTCCTCAGGAATATTCATCTTCTCCGCATACTCTTTAAATGTGGCTTTGTCAGCTTCTGATATTGGAGCAAACTATAATAAGATATGCTTTGTAAACTGTCATAGTCGAAAAATTTTCAGGTCCGACACACCTTGATATGTGTCAGCTTCTGCGACGAAAGAAATGAGCCCTCTTGTGAGTCTTTATTCTTGCACTCAACCGCATCACGAACGCAAGACAATGGGATTTCTATCTGCAATATGAATACTTTACTCGCATAATTCAGACACAGATACACTGTAAGAGATATAAAAGATGTAGAGCAAACTTACCTCGGTAAACAATGAAGTCAGCATATTTTCAGTGTCATTTATCATTTCATGGAACCATATGACAGGATGACAGTACATTTTCTTGTTCTGTTCATAAACTGAATATGGTGCTGCGAAGACTATTGCTGCCGCAGCCTAAAAAAGACAAAGTATTATGCTGCGAAAGAATCAACCGAATGAGACGGTACTCACTCTCCTGCCATGAGGTCGAAGTAGTCTGTTCCATTTACCCTCACCAGCAGTAAGCAAACTAATCCATCTTATTGCGGCTGGGCAATAATTGTACATCTCCGTAAGCAGAGCGTTTAAGAAATCCTCACTGAAAACAGTCGATGAAAAACAGAACAACTCGAAAGTTTCAGCCAGGCTATAAAATTCTGAATACAGAAACAAGAAATTGGTAACTATTCTCACCGACGCATTACTTTTTCAACGGATAACAGTCCCTTCTTTCGGAACGCGAAAATATGCTTGAGATTAGGAATTCCCTCACAAAATGGCACAAGTTTTGCTTCGAACGACTGCGTTTTCAGCACACATACGACACCGGTGGGAAGATGGGCTCGTAGGCAGGTGATGGCTCCTCGTAGATACTGTCGTATCTCCTTAATGATCAGAATGCTAAATGTGAAATGGCAGCATGAGCCTTTCCAGAGATAATTCTTGAGTGACAAGCTTTGGAGTAAAAACCAACCGTTTCGCTCATAAACTCCTCACTGAGAGCAACGGACAGCGTGGTAAGCGCCGGATGTTCAGCGTAGCAAATGCTGAAGCCTGGTCTAAACAAATGAACATCAGGTATCCGATTATGTAATTCGACGAAAAACCGTTTCATAAAGACATGATACAGGTTTCGGTTTCAAACAACCTATTCCTTAACAATGCGATTATTAATTGTTCATTCAATGACAAGATTTCGATTCTGTTGCGAGTTAACATAATTAAGGGTTGGGATTAGCACGCGCTCTTACGTTACCAATGTTACCGTTATATATTGCAGTCATTTTTGCTGTTGTTATTGTTCCGCTTTTCAGTAGTTAAATGGCAACCTTGTACCTTGATTTTTTCCACGAGAGGCAAATAACCAACAGTAATTTGGTGCTCAGACTACCGTCCTGATATGAAGGAAAACGCAATCAGCAGTTTACGGAATCGCAGACGGAAAAAATGAGAGTGGGCATTCATGCCGTCCAATGGAGCGGAACACTGGTAACAACGAGAAGAACAGTGGCAACACTGGTAATAGCGGTAAAACTGGTAGCAGCGGTCACATCAGTTAGGCCACGGCCAGACTTCGCTCAAAAGCGCTTGGAAGCGCACAAATTTCTCTAACCTCTCTTTACTTTCCCTATCTCTCCTCACACGAGAAAGTGAAGAGACATTAGAGAAATGGGCGCTTTTGAGCGAAGTCTGCCCGGGGCCGCAATGTAAAGCATGGACTAATGAATTATAATAATAAAAGTCGTAAAAATGAAGAACATACTATAGGCGGCAAGAATGGAAGTATCTACAGTAACTAAAAAAGCGTTAACGAAAAGAAGTTCCTTGCTGTAGCGTTACCTGTGTAGCATCTTTCCCAACAACGTACTACCACAGCGAGCTGTGTTCGTAAAAAGTACGGTCCTCGGTTGTGGTTGTTTTTCCAAGGTCTCAGCAAACTTCAGAAAATCGCTTCGTTTCACTTCGGCTACAGCCAAAGCCTACATAGTGAAGATCACTAAAAAGTCTAATCACAGACTTATTAATAAACTCACCTTTTCAAACAATGGGACGAAAATGAATGGGTATTCACTGATGTTATAGCTATAGAAAGGTTCTGGCAACAAAACAAACAGTACATAGTCCTAAATCAAGATAAATAAACCAAAGATACAGAAATCAAAAGTATTTGCAACTCACTCTTTCAATACAGTAAATACTCCAGTGTGAATTGTTCATTAGCTCGATGCTTTCGAAATGTCCTCCTGCTAGCACGAAATCACTTCTTTTTGCAATTTCTTCCGGATCCAACTTATAACGCCAGATAATTGACAGCATTCTGACATGTCCATCTGGAATGTCAGCGGTACCAGCCGCCATTCGGAAGACCTTAAATAAGGATTGGGTCAGAGGAGAAAATATCGTAGTATTCAATGACGAACCTCTTTGATTTTCCCGTATATGTGTTGAAGGAGCAGATAAATCACATAGAACTGGAGTCGTAAAACTATCCAGAACTTCTCATATATAGTCTGCATTTCTGAAAAAAATTTTAAATCAAATCATGAGAGCATAAAAATGCAAATTATCCTGAAATGAGGGCTGTCTAGTTGATAATATGAGAACAATGCCCTCTCCATAAATTCTGTTGACAAGCGAGTTGCTATGTTGCGCTGATTAACATAATGCGAGGGTCATATTGGACAGTGCATCGATAATGAAGGTGCAAAGTAAGCCAACTTTGGTAACAGGACCTGATCGATGGAGTGGAGTGCTACGTCCACAAATGATTGATGTATAAATCTTAAGAAGAAATTCAAGCCAAGTTATTAATGTGAATAAACATGCAGTCACAGCTCGACTGATTCTAATTCCATTGTTCACATCTTCGTCTGCACAGGAGTAGTTTACAAATCATTCACTGACGCAGAGAATGCATGACCTGCACCACGCAGCGCTGCGGTGAGAATACGAGGTACGGAAAGCGGTGATAAGACGCCGATATTGGAACCGCGTCGAGTTAGTATGCATAGTATCATAGTGATTCACTCAGTCTCAGGCTTTAGCCACACTTTACCCAAGTTACCCGTCTTACCGGTGTTACCAGTGTTAATCGTGTTACCAGTGTTACTAGTGTTACTCATGTTACTAATGTTACTATATTAGATCACAAATACAGTTTCATTCAAAAAGGCAATCTCATTGAATTGAATAGTGAGTAACGCTACCAACACTAGTAACACGAGTAACACTGGAAACACGGGTAAAGTATGGCCAAAGCCTCAAAGACAACAGCTGCGCAGTAACAACAACGCAAATCAAACCTTTCTGCGAAGGTCTATAAAGGCTCACTACGATGACGCTGCATTCGAAGCGATTAGTCAAAAGTTTCGAAACCGCGACTCAACATGCAAGATCACCGTCCGCTGAACCCCATGCACTTCGGTGAGATCTTCATTGCGAATTGCGAAAGAGAAACGGGAACCTCTACTCTACCAATCGTTTGTCTTGGCTTTATAATTACCAAAGTCTACCGTTGCCGATGATTCCGGCAGCCTTAGCAGTAGCGCACTTTACACACTTTCACGTCAAGCCCAAAAGCTTCATAACATAGTCTACACATCTCTTCTGTCCTTTTTCTCCTTACTCCAAATACGCACAAGTATACCCTCTGTCTCATTCGAAGTCCAGCTCGAGCGGCTTGAATCTCGCGCGACAACCTCGCTTAGGCTCTGCATCTCTTTTGTGAGCGTGCTCTGGTCTTTTTTGTTTTACAAGTAAGCGTCGGAAAGACCAAGCTTAAATCGCTACTTGAGGAAGGAAAGTTCAATCGCTACTTGAGCGTGGGAAAAATGACCAGAGAGAGAGAGAGCGTTTCAGGAGTTAGGCCATAACAGCATTATGTTGTTTTGAAAAGTTCATGTGAAAACAATATCCACCATCCTTCGTTGGTTACAGATTTTCGTTAGAAAGTTACTGTCGTATAGACCTCGACAGATACCCAATTGACATCGTGCGTCAAAAATACGTACTTGATGTAAATACAGTGTACACTACTTACCTCAACCTGTAATTAATATTTTTTCAACTTGTACTTCCTCCCCATCTCTCTGGAGTTGGGAAAATGACTGAAGAAAGTATTGGTAAAACTGATTGATTTTAAATATCACTACTCGTACGGAAATCTTATATCATGGGGGCTATTTATCATGCTGATTCCGAAAATGGTACTCATTTTGCTTGATAGTCGTTTATTTTAGCTGCAGCAGCTGCCCGTTACTGAACAGAATCGCTTAGATTCTGTTTAGTTTGTTTTGCACAAGTTAAAAGATGAAACTCATTTCGCATATCATCTATTCTATGAATGGGAGACTCGAGACTGCTGTGCACATAATATCTAAACAATGGTAGACTTGCTCTTCCGAGTTTCCAGGTCATAAAAATATCTTTAATTTGATAGATTAGTTTGGAAAAAAAATTTACCAAACATCATACATTACCTCTTATTCGCTCGAACCTACGATAGCATCGAAAGCCCAATGAATGTCAGAAGTGATAAAAGTAATTGGAATAGGCAATCAGGAAACATCGGTAATCACGTGAGTAATCTGGAGAGACAGCCTCCTTACCTCCATGCACTTCCACTTGGCACATCAAATAACTCCAAACTTAGCTATGGGTGAACGGCTATCAAGCAAAATGAGTACCATTTTCGGAATCAGCATGATAAATAGCCCCCATGATATAAGATTTCCGTACGAGTAGTGATATTTAAAATCAATCAGTTTTACCAATACTTTCTTCAGTCATTTTCCCAACTCCAGAGAGATGGGGAGGAAGCACAAGTTGAAAAAATATTAATTACAGGTTGAGGTAAGTAGTGTACACTGTATTTACATCAAGTACGTATTTTTGACGCACGATGTCAATTGGGTATCGTGTCGAGGTCTATACAACAGTTAGAAAGTTCTGCATGAGGAAATGTAATGGACTGATCTCTGGTTTTTTGAGCGAACATTCACCTTTCATTTCGCGCTTTACTCCATCATTAGAGCGCAAAAACGTATTAACTAGTTTTCCAGCCGTCACGCCGCTGTAGGGTGTGCGAATGCACGAACTTTTCAAAAAACGGGTGAACTTTTCTAAGCGCTTGGTGATGCTGGTACAGTCTTCTTTCAACTTCTTACTGCTTAGCCATGTTTATAGCCATCTATCTATCTATATCCGACATTCACATGCTCAATTCGTTGTTTGAGTTAATTGCTCATGTTCTTCCACTATTCTTTCCTTTCAGTCTCATTGGACTACTTTTTTGATTCTAAGTTATCATATCGCACATGTTTCATCTTTGATATTTTTCCTTATCATCTTTAGCCTTCCTTTCATGAGTCTGCACCCTAACAATACGGAAATGACATATGAAAATAGATGACATACGGAGATGACATACGGAAATACGCGTGCAACGACTGACTGCTTTATTGTGCAAGTCGCTTGGCACAACCAAGATAATGGTAGGATCTATCATTAGCACAGTCGTGGCACCGGAGTAGGGACAAAACTTGGAGTCCCAGACAAAGGCTTCCCTTCAAACGTTTCGGATGACAAAACAAGCCGGGATTTGACGGAGGCCAACACATTACCCCACAAGCCGTAAGATCCAATTGCCCACGCGTCGCTTTGAATACCAATGCGCGGCGCGGCTGGAAACGTTTGGTCCCGAAGCGCTACAGGCTTTTTGCGAGCGACAATGAGCGCGCGCCCTTTCCACACATATTTTTTTGAACTTTTGAAGGGAGCTTTCGTCAAGATATACCTTGCAATGACGAGCACAACATGAAAGTTAAAGAAAGATTTTTTGGAATATAATGAACGCCGACAGTCGTTCGCGACCGCTTGCTTACCCTATTGTTCAAGGCATGGCGCGGGCAATTAGGTTTTAAGCGCCTATACTCCATGCGCGGATTGCGAATTGCGGACTTTATGTTGCTTCCTTCGGGACCAGCCACACTATTCCTGTGATTCCCGTGATTTCTGTAATTCCTGCGATTTTCTTGGCTGCTACGGGTCCCCTAACAATGTATATTGCGAAAAAAACAATGTATACTGAAATTCGCAAACCGCTTCGTAGTACGGCACATTGGAACTAGAGAAGTGCATGAATTACAGGAGTCGCAGGAATATAGTATGGCCGGTGCCTTCTTGGACGCTCCGTCTCCTGAAGCTTGCCTCACACTCGTACCTATAGTTACAAATGGCTGCGAAGAGCGCGCCCCTTGTCCCAGTGCAAATCTGTATTCCGCACGCGAACCCTAGCGATCAAGCGCACATACCCCATAACTTTCAGCGCGAAACAAGTGACACTGACGGAAAAACGACTTCCTTCGGCAGGAGAATCACAAAAATAAGTGCAATAGTGCAATTGGTCAGTTGTAACGTGCGATGATCTACCTTTCATCTCTTGCCATCTAGATCATTCTTCATTGATATAGTGCCTCAAGAACATAGCAAGGATAAGAAAGTAATGATTTGTTTGTGTCTAAACAGAGGGGGCTTCTTACTGAACATGTTTCTTATGCGGCAGCTATAAGAAGAAGAAAGCTGCGGATCCAAGTGTCATGAGGGAAGTATCATTCATTCTGAGATTAGGAGACTCAAACGTTTCGAATTAAAGAGCATTTTCCACATATCTCATTTTTGATGACAAAGCACTTGGATAAAACAATTCGAGCATGTTTATAACTTGTAGATATAAAGCTTTTTCGAGTTTTCTATTCCCAGAATGGGTAGTAGCTTGCGGGTGAGCATTGTAAGTTCAGATGGATTTCGATAGCTTAACTGTTCGTGAAAATCACTGTGTACGTCAATTTCGGCAGCTTAGATTGGCTTAGGTATGTATAGACGCCGTAAAACCTAATTGCTCGCGCCGTGCCCTGAAGACCAGCGTAAGCGAGGCGAGCGGTCGTCGCGAACATTTTCGGCGTTCACCATATTCCAAAAAATCTTTCTTTAACTTTCATGTTGTTCTCGTCAATGCAAGGTATATCTTGACGAAAGATTCCTTCAAAAGCTTGGAAAAATGTGTTTGGAGAGGGTGCGCGCTCATTGTCACTAGCAAAGCTGTAGCGCTTCGGGACCAAACGTCTCCAGCCGCGCCGCGCATCGGTGTTCAAAGTGACTCGTGGGCAATTGGATTTTACGGGACCTGTACCTCCAGCTCAGGGATGGGTAGATAAGTGTACACAGACATATGTAAGTACGACCTGGGAGAAATATGTGGTTCAAACTCTCGCTTCTTTGACTCTCACTCCTCATCTGAGCTCTTCCTTAGGTAGTTATCGCGACGCACTGAAGATGATACTGCTTTCCGTGATGTCATAACCAAAAATCTTGTGCATGCAGTGTAATGAACTGAAGGAGCTCTCTTCACAAGTTTTGATGGTGTAGACTCGGCCTCTTTGACCTTCATTTTTGTCACAGATCCAAAGAAAGCCTGAATTGTTGAACAGGGGGTCTACTTGATACTGTCCATTTAGTATAGGAAACG